CATATTCATTCGAAAAATATTTAATTTTTGACTCGATATGACGTATACTCACTACATTAATAATGTAACAGTACAGTGAAGTCATACTAACTAGACATTCCCGACGATTCGAATAATATTTTTAGTTTTATTTCGCTATTAATTAATTCAGTAAACTTAAGTTTTCGATGAATATATCTGGTATTTATTTATACTTTTTATACATTTATTCAATTTTTTAATTTCTTCTTGGACTTTGGAAACGGGATGCCACTGGATGACAGTCATGGTTTCTTTCATAGCTTAACTCAACCATTTATTTTACATAATCATATTTGGATGAAGCGAATCTTTTGTGTTTTATGTGAATTGCCTATCAACGTCTCGTTTCGATTGTTATCGATCAAAAACTAATCCCAGTACTGTCGTAACAAATAACATCCGTATGTCTGCAATTGGTTTTTGTGACATTATGAGATTGGATAATATTATACGTGAAATACCGTTGAAAACATTTATTTTCTATCTTTATTAGATCCAGAAACGATATGTCGTCAGTATTCTACTGGTATTAAGAGCTAATAACGTCCTTTGTTGTTAAAAATACTATAATATTTACCATTCGTAATACATGCGTGCATTATGAGTAAACGCGACGACATTATTATCATTTTGTTTTATTAGAAAATATGCCACACTTAACTTTTTCATTATAAATTTAAACATTTGAAAACATATAATGTGTTTTTCGCAAATATGACATAAGCCATATAAGAATGCGGTTCATCGATTATAATATCTGGTGTCAATTTTTTGTACACCTTACATCCTACTGCGTGCGTAATATGAAATTAGTATGTTTTTTGTATGATTTTGTATTTTATCGTACAAGCGTCACACGCATTTATCGTATAACACGTGTTTACATTTCGAGCTAGTGATTTGTTTATTTTCTATTGTTTTCAGTATGAATTTTATCACCTGTAACGTTACAGCTATGGGACAATATACACAAAGCTAAATAAAATATACACTACATGACTATAGGTTTATGAATAGTTCCAAACTAAAATTTTTAATGTGAAAATAAAATAGATAGTATCAAACAGATGGGTAAATGCGTATAATTATGCGTATAATAATTATAATTTTATGTTAATGAAACATGCTAGATTTTTAAATTTATTTGGTTTTATAATAGGCATTAGATAAAAAGTTTGAAATATCAAAGAATGTAAGAATAACAAATTACTTTATGGACGTGTAGTTTTATTTGAAGAACACAATGAAAACTGATGTAATTCAACGTAAACAAAATGCACTCACATACTTGTCTTTTAACGTTGATATTATAAACAATTTTAAGAAAAAATAATTACAACTAGTCATTTAATCATATAACCAAAAAACCATAATGCTGTTTATGGGGGAAAAACACAACTATTAACTATTAATACAGCTATTGATTTTACTCGTCGATATTGAATAGATATTTGTGAAGATTAATATACTTATTATTATATTTTATTAATTTAAAGTAAAATAAAGCATTTCTAGGTTATATCGAAACGTTTCGTTTGAATTATTATAAAAAGAATTAGGTATACACTGCTTATAATTTTTTTAAATGTTTTGAGGTACCCCTATGTATATAATGTTTTGTTGAAATAAGTTACTATAATTGCCCTCTTTTTAATTCATTTAAGATTGTCTACAAAAAAAAAAAATTGTAAAAAACTGAAAACTTTTGATGTATAATGCTTTATTTGAATTGAATAAAGATAAAATAAATTTATTCATCAAAAAGGATTTTAAAATATGTTTTTATGAAACTAGTTGAGATATAATTTCTCAAATCCATTACCATAAAAGTCAAGTTGTTTTAAATGAATCATACATTTCTTCGAATATTTCTCTTTCAGTTATGCGGCATGCACATTGTTACATGTTTACATGTTGTTTCATACGAGATACCGTAGCATAACTATTAATGCATATGATAGACATATTCGTTTAACATTTTTTTTTCTTGTAACAAGGATAATTCCAATTTAGAAATTGGCAAATTATGTGGTTTGCTGGTATACTACGCGTTAAACTGGACGAATCTACGAATGGATATGAATTTATTTTCATTTTCCTTTTTTTTTTTTTTAATTTACTGTGACCCAAACAGAAATTAACGCGATAAAATCTTAGCTAAATTAATTAATGTACTCGTAGTTTCAATTGATGATGTTGTATAAAAGTCGTCCCGATCGTACAATTCAATTTACGAATCTCGATTGAAATCTACGATCCAACGGTGGTTTCAATTTCCTCCGTCCTTGAACAAACACTCATGATAATATAATATTACTGTAGTAAAGGTCACTAATAACTTAAGTCTGATTCATGTATAAAATACAGCGAATATTTGTAGAGCACATTTTGTTAAAAAAAATTAAAAATTAAATAAAAAAAAAAACAATCAAAAACTAATCTTTGTTTCCGTAAAAAAATAAACGTACCTAAATAATATTACAAAGATTACATTCCTACTCAGTATACCATTGTTCACGCGTTGTCTAATTATTTTATCAATTTCACCTAACCCCGCACATTGTAATTATTGTTCAACCTTTGAAACCGTGTAAGGTACATTCGACATTATTTTGTTCCGAGATATATAATTATAACGCGACATGCAGCAACAAGTTACGATTGAAAAACGGCTCGTCAGAAATGTGGCCAATCGTCCGTTCCACGTCGTTCTGAAGGAGTTGAAATCGTCGAATCGCAAACGTCGTGGCATGTAATATAAAATAACAAAATCAAACTACGTGCCCGCGAGTAGAAAAAAAAAAGCTCTGTATAAAATAAAAGTAGAAAACAACAAATTACGAACAGGTAGTATCGATAAGCCATGGTCCGAGATTTTGAGTAAATATAACGGATTAAAACACTAACCTCGAATCGAATACGAACGTTTTATTCGTTTTGTGGTTAAGTCCAGAAGATTACTAATACAATGTGCAGTTATACATTTATAACTGAACTACCTAACTAATTATACGCCACGTGATACGGGCTTAAATTGGTGCGGTTAGTAAAATTATTGATTAACGCGTTTGAAAATATATTCCAGAAAACGATGGCAACTCGAACTAAACTTTTTACCACCTACTGGTTTTTTTTATTTGTCTAAAAAATGTTATAGGGCAAACAATTCGATAGGAATAAAATAGCTTTTTCATATCCACTTATCACTGATACTCGGGGCATTGGTAACTGTGATTCACTACCCTCGTCTATAATACATGCACAAATATACATAAAACTTAGTAACTTATTCATTTATATATTGTTTAAAGTATATCTATCAATCTGATGATGCGATACGAATTTCTAAACAGATTTAAATGAGCTGTAACATTTACTTAAGATAGACTTTCTAATATTATCAATACATTATTGATCTTTAAAATTGTATTATTATTTTTTTTTTTAAATTTTATCTACTCCATTTTCGTCGAAACCAAGAGCAAAAATACAAATGCAATAAAGTACATACGAAGGAGACTTCTTTGTATTTTGTAAACACCATTATCACATCACTTTATGTGTTTGCTAGGTACACGTGCAGATTTAGTTAATACCGGGAAGTTGGTTGGCACCAATAACGGTGAAACGCGAGTATAAGTATCTCTTAAATCATATGATGCAAATTTTATTAACGAAAACAGAGTAAAATATAAATGATCGATATGGTATTTTATAATTGTCGATATCGTGGAAAAAGTATAGCTGGTGTACCTGGACGATTAAAAATCGTATACGCAGAGTGGAGATAGTTAAGAATCGATTTAACAGTCGTCCATCGTTGTTGTACTTTATCAATACTTCGAAAATGTGAAGACTATATAATATAAGTCAAGAGTTCAATCTGCCCTAATGTTGAGAGTTATCGAACACGTAGGTTGTTCTTCTCGAACGATGTACTTATTATTATTACAATTGTTATTATTTTTTCCGACGCCTAGTTTACATTATTATTGGTCTGCGAAACACATTTATAATACATTTCGAATAAAATATAAGATAAATTCGATATTATTACTATTATGAGTTACGTAAACGTGGTAGACGACGACGGCGACGATAAGATTCTTCCTAAATAATATTTTATTATTATTATTATTATTATGGTTTATTGTTTTTTTTTTTTTTTTCATAATTTTAATAGCAGCTATTCCCTTTATAGATTCGTACATCCCGACGCACATTAAATCACATATTAGGTAATTTACAAGTTATCCGATTCGTTAAGCACCGTATCATTAAAATAATATTACACACGATAAAAAAATTTAAAAAAATGTGGGTGGAAAAAAATATCTCGATATTATTATACACCGCGTTGGTTTTCGACGAGAACAGATATAAATGTTTTCACCCTTAATTGATTTTTACAGAAATTAATAATTATATCCATTTGTACGAGATAAAATCGACGCTAAAATGTTAAAACTCGTCGGAACATTATACATTATAATAATAATATTACGTATGCGATATACCATCGACGGAATATACGTAATGGACAATGTTCACCCGATAGTAATGTTTCGCCGGGCCCCGTAAGTTCGTGTTTCCGGCAATTATTTTCTTAACGCAACGATAACAATATCATCGACTTACACGATACGTACGTATATAACCGTATGCGCATAAAAGTTTTCATTATTATTATTATTATTATTATTATTATTATAGCAAATGTTTATTCCATATGCATTCATCTGCTGTTCCGGCGAGTTTTTATGTACGAGTTATTAAAATACAATGCACGACACGAATCCGCGGTTGCCGCACATGCGTGGCGCGTCTTGTACAACACGTTACGAACGCGCGTACAAATAATCGTATTGTTGTTGTTCGTAATGTAGTTATTTTTCACGTGTAAACCGAACGCACAGGTATATGGTAAGCCGTGGATTCAATTAACACCGGTATGGGTGCGCAATATAACGTTGACTCACGTGTCCCGAAAACCGTGTCCAAAAAATAGTTATCCATCTGCGATGGAAAAAAAAAGCGCTCAGCTTTCGGTCGTAAAGAGTCGATAGTACAAAAATATGACTTGAAAATTGTTTCTACGTACACGGAAAACACTCAATTAACTGTTCGCGTTGTTTCATTTTAAAATTTCTATCAAAGTACCGCACAATGTTTTTTAACTTAGATGAAAAAAACGTTCGTTCGTATTGCTTGCACAAAATACACAGTGTTCCGCACCGTACGAAAATAATCATATTAATTCAATACCGTTTTCGTTACGATAATATTACAATACGGCGATGCAGCACACACGTTTTGTGAAACCGCGGTTATGTTTTGTTAAGTACAATATTGGGCTTGCGCTCCGTAAACTACTTACAACCTACTGTGCTTATCGTACGTTGTAATAATATTCTATCGAGTGTTGGCGTATTTGTTATAATGCTTTCGTACTGCGACCGCAGGATGAACAAAATAATATTGTTTCAACTACATCTAGGACAACATTTTGTACATGAGTTACTTGGAGAAAAAAGTCACGGACTCTATATTTGCCTTGAATAATGAACATTTTTCGGTCGAGAATCAGCATGCAAAGAGTTCAACTATTTACGGTTACATATAAATGATATGTGCACATTTTTTTCTATTTTTATTTCTCACGAAGCACCGGGAATTTTATTAAAAAAAAAAAAAAAAGAAAAATAATTATTTAAAACAAATTTAAATACATTTACATAAATAGAAATCATATTATTACGGGCATATAAGAGTTATGAGGCAGTAATATGTATTACAAAATACATTTATTTATGAACATTTGTATTATGTGTATGCATAGGTATTAATAGGTTTCGTGTAAAATTATTTTTATCGTATATTATTAAACGGGCGCTTAGCACTGTGCATAAGACATTAGCATAATATTATGATAAAATATATTACATCGAAACACTAAAACGTTACCGCTACGTAAGTATGATTTTCGTTTTGAATTCCAATTATAACTAATCAAATATGTTCGAAATTCAAAAGCCGTCTAAACGAAACTGTACGTACATAAAAGCTATTATCACTAAATATCTCAAAAACGTTCATTAAGGTGTATTAAGGTATATTTAGGGAATAATTATTTAGGTATGTTATTATAAGAAACGTTTTTATTAAAAGGTTATCAGGTAGAACGTAAATTATTATTGTTGCGTTATACCTACAGAAATATGTTCATAATATTCCAGTAAATTATATATGATGGAAATATTTCAATTACAAAAACTTGTGAATTTTCAAAATATGTACGCTTGAAATATTTGAAACCGTATACATATATGAAATAATTGCAATTCTGATGATACACAAAGATATATTATTTTGATCTGTGGACATTTTTTAAACTATTCGTATAAGTTAACTTGTAGATATTATGTTTTCTTGATCCAAAAAAATCGCATACATTTTTACTAGTTTTTAACACAATAAATGAATACGATGAACAGTTACACTGAAAATCACACGTTTTGACTATTGAAAATAAATAACCACCAGGAATTGTTCACTAAGGCTTAAAATTGTATTGTGTAATACGTTAGTTGAACTGTGTGGTCAAATGTTTTACCACACATCGATTACTAATTTAACGCGTTATCATTTACACTGTCAGCTGAAAACTCAGTCGGTCGAGTATGTTTAGAAATAGTGTTTTCCGATAGCGTTTCTTCTATGGTTCGGTTCGGTTTCGTTGAGATTCAAATGAGGAAAAAAAAACGCGATACAACCGTATCGGAACGTATTGGAATGTTCGCGACATAATGTTGTGAGCGCACGAAGACGCAGATGAACGTTATATAATATCGATATTGTTGCGGGCGGTCCGTTGTGGACACGTTACACGGAGTTAAATATGTAAACGACGCGTCGGGAGACGGCGAAAAAATTGACGCGTTCGACAAAATATTTCTTCGAGATCGTGCGGTAACGTCTGCCGCCGGTGGGATTTCCACGGAGCGTGGAAAAGAATAAAAAAATAAAAAAATCCGCGTCCGGGGTCAAACGCGACGTCCGGGACCTTGACCGCCGAAGCTCGACGTATCCTATTCCAAACGTGTAATACGGTTTTGATCGTACGATTATTATTGTTATATGCACTTTTTTTTTTAAATTTTTTTTATCCCCGTTTTTCTCTCCTATCGCCGCGACGACGACGCGGCCGCCGCTACCACCACCGTCCCGTCGTCGTCGCTCGGTTTTCGGCCGCGGCGTTAAAGTCTCTCCCGGAGCGGAGGAGACCGGTTCGGCTTTCGCCGTATATATATAAGACCGAAACGCAAACGGTTCGTACTCTTCGCGCCGGAACAGACCAGTCCGCAAACAACGCACCCGCCGATTGTTATCTCGCGCGCGCACTACACAATTACTGCGTTCACTCTCGTCCGTCCGTCTCGTTTCATTTAACGCGCGCGCGCGCGCACACAGCACACGTTCGAGCCCGTCCGGACGATGCGCCTGCAACGGGACCGCAACATGTTCCCGGGATCGTCCTGCGCAAACGTGAGTACAACCTTTTTAGAGTATGGTCGACGATCGCGTCCAGCGGTCGTGTAGACCGGTGGTGAACGGATGGCCGGAGGCACGACTGGTCAAAAGTAAGCACGGTACAGGGCTATCGCGTCGTTCCGTGGTCAGCGCACGGACGTCGGTACACCCGAATCGTACTTTTGACTGTTTTTTTTTTTTTTTTATACTTTTCTAACAAGACGTACATATATTTTTGCATCCTAAACCAACGTTTCCCAACCGTCCGCTCAATATATTCTTTTCAGCTAATGATTTACCCCTATTCAGATAGCCCTCTTATATAATGACTGTCGATTATTACTGATAATTAAAAAAGCGTTTTCATAAAAATCTTTAATTTTTGATCGAATTGTTTTAATTATAAACATTTGTTTTTATTTCATTTTAATATACAAATAGAATAGGTATGTTTTTATATTTAACTCTACGGTTTCGTTTAAAATAATTTTTTATAAATGGTAATATTTTGATTATATTTATCTTATAAGCCATAACTAAAATAAAAGTTAAATAGTGAAGTAGTTATAGAATAATAAATATTTAACGAACTATTAAAGAATACTTCTATTTCTGTTTCATAAATTATAAACCTCTATAATATAAAATAAAAACGTACAATTTTGTTCGTTATATGAAAAATACTCAATATTTAATTTAAAAAAAAAAAAAGGAAAAAAAATCCCGTATGAATTCTAATTTTATGTGAAATATATTGGCTGAAATTTGAAAATTGATAATTTTTTAAATCGTCAACATCGTAATTATTTTCATAGAAATTAGCATAGTTTTAAGTTCGATTCATAAACGTACTTACCTACTCATAAAACTCATAATAGTTTTCATTAATTTTTTGTTATTTATATTCCCGGAGATCATTTTAAGGTTTACTGAAAAATTCATTGTTTGGAGTTTTTGAGAAATTTTATATTTAATAAAAATAGTCACTTTGATGGTTCTTAATCTTTTTCTTTGTTTTTGTTGACTTGCGATAGAACTGTTGGTCAACTGACATTCATAGAGGAACACGGCAATAATAATGTGATAATTACATGGTTGAAATAAATAGTTGTACAATCGCGTTATTTACGAGCATATTACGTGAATACGTGCTGATAATTTGATATATGCGAGCTATATCCAATTCGATGACTAATAAGTTATAAATCTATAACAATTGTGTAGTCAGAAAAATTATAAAACTAAAAAATAATAACGTTTAGTACCTACATATCGTTTATTCATAATACTGTTATGTTACAAAAACGGGAAATAAGAAAAATTAACATCAATAAAATGTAACGAAATTCGATACTCACCAGTTACGCATTTACAATAAGGTAACGTTAATTTATTTAATTAATTTAGTCTAACTGTACGTTGAATCGTAATAAAACTATTGCATATCATATAATACATTTATCAATAACTTTAGTAAAAAATAATTGAAAATTTATTGTACTATACAAAGCGTTTTAATTTAGAATATTGTCCGTACTTTCGCCACGAGTGATTTTTATTTCATTCGGTTTTACAAAGGAAATATATGTATCTAAAAAAAATACAATAACTTGTGTGATTACTTGAGAATTTATGATTATGTACACCTATTTGCGTACAATAGTATGTAATTTATTTTGATTTACTTCCTCCCGACTATGTATTTTATTAAGTATAATAACCTGTCTCCTTCCACTCACATTACTCTAATAATGTTTTAACTATTTATTCTAATAGTACTTTTGTATTTGTTCTTATTTTACTTTTTATCCGGATTTTATTTCATTTTAATGGTCTAACAAATGTTTGCGATTCGTTAATCATAGATAAACAAGACTTGTTCATATTTTAGACTGTATTTAGTTTTTTAAAAATAATTAAGACTTATTACAATCGAAGAAGAACACAGTTTTAAGTTCACCGAAATAAAAACAAAATAAAAACGTGCGTTTTTTATTCGTTTGAGTGTTGTAACTGTATCAGTAAACATTTAATGTACTCTAGGAAAAAATGATAAAATAATAAAAAACTTCTTAACAATAATAATATAATTTCAATGAACACAATTTATGCGGAACGATATCTATCATCAACGTTTATAATGTATTCAAGAACGACAATGTATGATAGTAATAAATTATCGAGTCATAATCTGAAGATGAGGACGATTGTAACATTGATCTAGGTCGTAATCAAGGTGTGACATCTGGGTAACCTTCTTAAATGATCATCCTTCCTTGTAATTTCGACAACGATATTATGTATTTATATATATATACGTATATATACTTTACCTATTGCACAATAGTTGTTTTTATTGTTAGAATGTCCATTTATCCGAATACCGATTTCAATATGGTATATACGTAGATTATCAACGTTATAGAAACTGTATTGAACGTTCAATATTTTTTTAGTATAAATTGAAAAAATTAATCACGTCTGGTCATATTACGAGTATAATAGTATAATCTGTATATAATTAGGTTGTATACTATTTATTATTACAATTAGTTATTTTACATCGCAAGTGCAAAATAAAAAATAAAAAAATTACACATATTCCCAATACATGAAGTGATTACAAGTATTAATTTAATGCGTGCCTTCTCTAAAGTTCCGATAAAATGGTAGATGCATTATTATAAAAGCAAAAAAAAAAAAAAAAAATTAAATCAAAGATGATTTCAATTGGAAAATAATTTATGTTATTATAGGTAGGCTTGTTGAATTTACTTACTGTAGTTTAGAGTGTAAGAACTTTAAATCCAGGAATTTGACTTAAAGATTTTATTTTTTTAAACACTAACTCAAACCACTTTAGAAGCAATCAGTGCATTTTTTATACATATTGATGTTTTAAAACCTAGAAAAAAATTCTGATTTCCGAACTACTAGCTATAATAAATTAATTTCAAGGAATCTATGTGACATAAACTGGTTTGGTCACTATCTATAATATTATAAATTAACTATTAACAGATTTTGGCAAAAACGACGAGAACATAAAAATTATTCATGTTTCTACATTTATTTGTATTCTCATAAAACATCTAAGTTGGTTATGAAATCAACATTTTACAATTAGTCGGATAAGGATTATGAATAATATACATCTAGAAAATATTTTACAAAAATACAAGTTATGTGACTTTTAAAATCACTTTATATTAGAACAAGAAGTGGACAAAGAGATTTTATACTAACCGTTGACGATCACAAAACAATCAATAATGGTTTACAGTGATGATTCTCATACCTATCCTGTCATAACCAAAAAACAAAATGTACTTATCACTCAATCATAATTGTAAAGTCTACGATATTACACGACGCTTAATATAACAGAACAACAAAAATGCTAATATGTTCCGTTAAATTTGCTATCATCGCAGTTCGTTTTGATATTAATTGTGTTACTAAACATCATAAATACTTGGTAATGAATAAAAAACTGACGAATTCGAACAAAAGCAATAAACCAATGACACGACGTGCACATTGCAATATAATTACATTACTGTTGCGAAACAACACAAACTTTCGTATCGATTATAGAGATTTTTTTTATTTTAAACTCAATACTCAATATTTAACACCGTGTTGGTCGAGATTTTATGAACCGTACACGTCCGAAGTCAAAGGTTCGCAAGCGATTTTTTTGGTCTGCAACATTAACGGAAATCGCGACAACAATAACGGCATGCGAGAACTGTACGGGATCACAGTCTTCACGTACCCTGCAGCTAATAATAATAACAACAATAATCGTACGCGGTTGTGCAACGCACGTATGACATTTCGATGATGACGTTTCGTCGGTAACGTACCAGTCGATCGCACGTAACCTTTTCACGAAACGCTAGTGAATACGGTTTTAGTCCAATAATAATCGTGTATCAGATAAGACCAGACAAAATAGTCACGCACGCGTTTGACATTGCGCCTTGACGTTTTTCGAACTCAACAGTACACGATACTTTCGGTGCAAACGTTACGACCGCGCGGTATCATCGACGTGTATCATGATAGTTTTTTTTCCTCTTCGATTTTTACCGTTTCCTTTAAAGGCGCCATGCGAAACGCGCGTGCAACAATACCATGGCCTTATTAATCCAACGGATTTGTTTCCGCGATCCCCTTCAGGGTTCTGTTCGTGAACGGGTTACGATAATATCCACGAACTCGTTCGACGTGACGACCGCTCTGGTAAACGCGATTGGTAAGATCAACTGTTATCGAGTTAAGTCGAAGCCTTGCATCTCTTGGTCCAGTGTTTTCGTGATTTCTTCCGGTCTAGCGATTTTCGAATGGCACGAGATCAATTTTACCGTCGTTTTTTCCGATCGTGTTTCGGAACGATTTAGCGCATGCGAATCTCATCTCGCGGCGCGTTCGAATTGTTGTTTATCGCCCGTCAACCCCTCCGTCAATCGACGCATTGCGATTCGTTTCCTCGTGCGGCAACGGTCTCGTATTGGGTCGCAGAGAAATAGCGAACAAGTTGTATACAATTCCGTACACGCCAATGCGTCTAGTGCACACATCGTCGTCGTACACAATTCCGTCGATAATCATATTATTGTCGTCGGGCTCAAAGGTGTCGCGCGAGACGAAAAGTCGTATGCATGTTATCGCATTAATATTATACCGTCTGCACTCGCTCCGGAAGCAACGTCGGAACGACACGTCGGTTCAACGTACCGCGTCCAATGCGCCTACATCGACATTATTATTGTTATTCGAACGGGTTTACGGTCTCACAGCGCATTATTTTTATACGCGCGCATACATTTATTACCATAAAATGTGTACACCGATCATCGATTCCGCCCGTTGTCGCGGATTCGTGTGCCGTGCACGGGCTATGTCATTATTGTTATTATCGTTATTAATGTATTTAACGCGTGTGACTAAGAAAACGTAGTGTTTATAATAATAGTAACACGACCGCGACACGAGTAATTACCATGCGT